ATAAGTAGTGCTTAGCGAGACTAGATTAATCCTAAGAGGATTTCCTTGAATGGGCCTATTTGGCTAAGATATGAACATGTCAAGTTTAGGATAAAAAATGTAGATAGATTGTCTGTTGTGCATGAATTACAATACTAAAATATATCAAGACAGAATTTATTGTTGATACTCCTATCGATAAATCGTGATACTGTTGAAAGAATTATGCTGTGATGTTTATTTCATGATCTAGCTGCTACCTAAAAGAAGCACCAAACTTGTAGCAAAAAAAACATGCGATCGATCGCATTTCATCATGTGTAGTGGGTGTCGAAAAGACCTGTTTTGATCGTTTTGTCGTTAGTTATTAACGGATGGCGCAGAAGAAATTGCCGGCTTTTGATAGGCTGTTTTTTAAAGTAAGGCTGTATGAGAAAATTTTGTTCTGATGTCAAAAGATGGAGAATTTTGTGTAGATTTTATTGATATGTTCTTTGCGAAATTAGCATTTGTCCTTCTCTTCTAGTATGAAAGGTACTGGATACCACAAAAACATAATTTGCTCAGTATTTTACGGGAATAAAGTGTTAGCTTTCTTTGTTAAATGGCTTTCCATACACAATTCAAATGAGGTATTATAAAATACAGAGACTTATCTGTTTTTGAGACCCAATACCAAATCTGGGGATGAAATATCGTCATTCGAAAAATCGCTTGCAAAAAATGCCTAATTGTCCGTTTTTAATGTTTTTTTTGTGTCAGGCAAAAGATCTTAGTCTCATCATTAGTTTACAAAAGAAATTCAGCTCTTATAATGAAGAGCATTTTGTAGAGCTTAAAATTCTGCATGTCTTGATATAAAAAAGTAGTTCTTGTAAAACCAAGTTTTGAGAAAATTGGTAACAAAAAGTACGATTCCTTTGGCCGACGATATTTTCTTGATGCTTTGCGTTTTTTGAAACAGAAACAATTAAGCTTAAAAAAATCAAAACACCACTAGATACATCGAAAAATTCTGCATCGTTTAGCAACAAGAAGAAATTTTTGAATCATAATTACCCGTACAAACATTTGAGTTGAAAGGTGTCTCATTTTGCAGTTGAGCAAATGACGTTTTTGTAGTATCCAGTACCTTTAATATTACAAGAGAAGAACAAACGCTAATTTTGCAAAGAACATATCAATATAATCTATACAAAATTCTCTATCTTTTGACATCAGAACGAAATTTTCTCATACAGTCTAACTTTAAAAAACAGCCTATGAAAACCAGGCAATTTCTTCTGCGTCACCCTTTACATTCACTAAACTATTATTTATAAAAAAGTAACAACTCGTGTTTCAGTTGTTCTAATGATTTCATTGTCTGTTCTAGTTTTTCCATCCATTACACCAGTGAATAAAAGGGTTTTATGCATGTTTACACCGCTCTTAGGATGATTTATGGGAAATGTGTAAAAGACTTCAATCTATAAGCATTTTAAAAAATAGATTTTTCTTTTGACACATGTTAGTATTATAATTCATGCACAACAAGCAGTCTATCTACATTTTCGATCCTAAACTTGAAATGTTCATATCTTAGCCAAATAGGCCCATTCAAGAAAATCCTTTTAGGATTCATCTAGTCTCACTAAGCGCTACTTATGGCGTAAACATGACTCTTAAAGCTTTTAATCAGTTGGTGGGGTTCTCTCGTTAGATCATATGTTAAAGTTAAAGGAGAAAAGAGTCGTGCAATATGCACGGGCTCTCGCTAGTATATGAATATTTCAATTAGACACATTGTAATTACAGTACGAAATGGCTATTATTATCGCATCAAAAACTGCATATTTAATGATTGGAATTATAAAAAATAAAAAAGATAAAAAGATAAAAATTCCGAGAAATTTTTCTTAAATTTAAAACTTGATTTGAAATTAAAGATATGAACATATTGGCATATGGAAGTGCCAATCAATTCCAATAGAATGTATCTTTTTAAAGATTCCATTCCTATCTTATCTGCAAAATTATATTGGAATATTGGTAAATGTATTGTCGTTGTCTTTCCATATATCTATTTAAAAATAACGATCGATAGAGAAATTAAATATTTAACATAAATGTATTTTTCTCATGATCTTAAGGCATTAAAGATTTATTATATTGAATAGATATTCAAAAATTGTTATTATGTTAAAATTTGAAATAAAGACAATTACATCTATTTCTGTTAAAATATAAAAATAAAAAATGAAATTTGTTTGTTTGGTTTCAATGTGTCGACCATAAATTATAATATTTGTAACAATAACAAAGATGCATGGATTTAAGTAAAGACTGAAAGTTAATTAATTAGAATTTTTTTTCTTATACGTACAAAATTAGAGTTTTCGTTATAAGTACAAAATTGGAAATTTTATCATACTTCTAAAATCAGTAATATTTAATGATGATTTAATTTTCTTCGGAATCGATTATTATTAAATGTTATTACGATACACACAGACAAAAATATTATTATATTTCAAAATTAGTATGGAAAAGTTAGTTTGAAAAATAATGGATGAAAGCATTTACCAATACCAATCCCATGTCAACCCGTACGGTATTGGTGCGCGCACGTACGCTTTGTGCGCTTGGTATGCGTGTTGACACATGTGTGTACGTGTACAAAGCGTGTTGCATTGTACGACACGCGTACGCATAACAAATGTTCATTGAGGAGGATTGGTGATCAGACAGTGGCGGATACACTGTAAAAAAAATGGTGCGGTACCGAACCCAAAAGAGTACTCTGATCGAAAAAAAGGTTTCGTACATACTACGGAACCTAAAAAGGTTTCGATTTCGTTACAATTATCTGAACTATTTTAGGTTCGGTACAGACCACTACGAAAAACTTGAAAAAGTGTCCTGATTCAATGACAATCAATCTTAGTCACCCAAAGTTGTGTACGAAACCTTTTGAGAGTTTCGTATTGTCTTCCAAAATGGTTCGGTACGCTGCAAAAGAATTTGTATGATTACGGAACCATTTAGGAAGACAATACGAAACTCTCAAAAGGTTTCGTACACAACTTTGGGTGACTAAGATTGATTGTCATTGACTCAGGACACTTTTTCAAGTTTTTCGTAGTGGTCTGTACCGAACCTAAAATAGTTCAGATAATTGTAACGAAATCGAAACCTTTTTAGGTTCCGTAGTATGTATGAAACCTTTTTTTCGATCAGAGTACTCTTTTGGGTTCGGTACCGCACCATTTTTTTTTACAGTGTAGACAAAGAATATATTTTCTTTGTTATACACTGCATACATATAGTTGATTCTATCATAATGATTTAAAAGTTATATTTAATTCAATAAATATTTTTTGAATAAATGAAATTATATTTTATTAAAAGAATTATGTTTTGTTTAAAAAATTATATATTTTATTAAGAAGATTATATTTTATTGAAAAATAATATATTTTTGACAAAATAAAATAATATTTGATTTAAAAGAAATATTTTTGACTGAAAAAATTATATTTGATTAAATGAAATTATATTAGTTTTAAAAGAATTGTATTATATTGGAAAAACTATAGTTGATTAAAAAAATTATAGTTGATTAAATAAAATTTATATTTGACGAAAACAAATTTTTTCCCAAGATTTTGATAGAATTAATATCGTAACAAAGTTATTTGTTCAACATATCATCAGTTACATTGAGCACATTTTTCGTTCTGTAATTGTTAAAAGAAGGTCCTCATCTTGTGTCAATAAAAAGCAAGTCATTGTTTTTTTGTGATTTATTGTATATATTTTTTCTAGGAGCAATTTGTCAGGCTTATTATTCAGATGATACAAATAAATTTGATGTTTTTTTGGGCTACTCAAGGCACTAAATCTGTACATGGACAAGCAAGATCTCAAAGAACTAGAAACAAAAAAATAAGTTTTTTCTTCTCACAATATTTTTGAATTAGGTACTTATGATATCATGTATTATTTTAGATTGAATCATAATGAAAAAGACTCGTTGATTGAAAATGAAGATACGTCATTCAATTAAGATCTAAAGAAACATTTTGAATATTTTCTTTTTTTTATAATATTTTCTTTTTTTCTAACTTTTTCTTGCTAGTTGTAACATGTGAAAACGAACGTGTAATTTTTTTTAAAATTTTAACTGTTTTTTTTATTTTTTTTTCTGTGATTGTTTCATTGTATAAGTGCAATAAACTGTTGAAATTGAGAAAAACGACTCATCGAAATTCTATTTAACCTAATCAATTAAGGATAGATCATCATAAGCCAATAGAAAAACTACCTAAGTGCATTAATGCACTTTCTTGTACGCGTTGCGTACACGTGTTCGACACGCTCGGTACGCGCATTTTGCGTGACGTTCGTGCGCGTACGAGGCGTGTTGTGCCGTGCGTGCACCAAGTGTGTCGCCACGCGTACCGGCAGCGTACGGGTTGACATGGGTACCCAAGTCAGCCCGTACGCCATTAGTGTGCGTACCGTGCGCGTCACACGTGCGCGTGACGTGCGAGACGCTCGGTACGCGCACGGATTGTCACGCGTACGTACGTGTGCGCGCACCATTAGCGACGTGCGCTTTTCCTTATTTTACCATTGGTTCATTTATAAAAGACTTATTTTAATTTTCAAAATTAAAAAAATGTTTTATTTCGTTCAAATGTTTATCAGACTAAAAGTAAATGAGTAGACAACAACAACAACGATAATAACAACTGGAAGAAAAACAATTAAATAGTTGTTTCATAAAAAAGACAAGATATAACACATAAATGTTTCATGAAATTTACAATTCTTATAAGAAAATAAAACATGAGAAATTAAAGAAATTTTCTAAATAATGTAACGATGGATAAGAAACGAGACAGTTACTATTTCATGATGCAAGAAAATGAACTTGTTTTGACGAAGTTGCAACATAATTTCATACATTACCGATAAGATAAATAAATAGTATAAATTTTATGAATAAGTATTAGCATCTGGATAAAATATCAATACTAATCATCATCATCATAATGTTCATAATTCAATTTATTTTGATTGTTTAATTCACTGTTTATGTTAGCCATGACAGGAGCAGCCATTTGATCAGATTCATCTTGATTTCGCCTAAAATACAGGACTTTATCATGCTTATGGCACAGTAAAACATAGTAGTATGAAGTGAACCATAAACTTACCGAGCTTTTTTACTTCGACTTCGAGCAGCCCGTTTTTGTCCACCAACATGTTTACTACCAACATGTTTCCAATAAGAGTCAAATTTTTCTGGTTTGTTTTCAAAAAAAGCAGCAACCATGGCTCCTTCGAAATAAATACCAGTAAAATATATAATAAATGCCATTACTTACCTTTTACAACATCAAATCGTTCATCTTCTTCATGTTTTGCTTCACCATTAATTATTTCTTCTTCTGAATACAGCTTACGAATTAATTTACAATGAATGCCAGTTATTGATAAATCAGGAGATATTGAGTCAAAGAGATTTTTTTCTTTGTATTTCTATTATTATAAACCAAGTCAAAACAAATTAATATAACAATGATCAATTACTCACGTAGATTGGTAATTCAATTGGTTTTTTAGCTGATACTTGTTCCTACGTAGGACGAAATTCGTAAAAGAAAATAAGATTATAGAAACTCACAAGTTGATTTGCATGAATTAATACAACCGTCATTTCTTGAAGTTTTTTATTACTTTTACGAAGTGACTGAAGATCATCAACAATAAGTTCTTGTTGTTTCATAACAGTTTTCAAATAATTGCTAATATCATCAATTTGCTTTCCATAATCAAGTGAAGATTCAGCGTGTTTTCGTTTAGTTGATGGTGATGATGAAATATAATCTAAACAAATAAAAATCTTTTTCACTATACATTGATATTATTAAAGTTAGAACTAACCAGGATCGGAAGCTGTAATTCTTGAAGAAACATTTCGATGATAGGAATTCGATTCGAAAACGTCAAAATCTGATGAATACGGTTGGACAGCATCTGAACACAATACATCTACTATATGAAAAATGAAACTATATTAAATTTACCTTGATCACTTTGTATATGATGTTGTTGTTGTCTTTGTTGTTGTGAAAAAAAACGAGCTGATGATGGAAGTGTACGTCGTGCTGTTAAAGGCGAATTTGTACGTGATTGAGTTAATGAATTATTAGTAGTTGTTGTACTAAGAGAAGTTCTTTGGTGATACATATTCCAATCAACAATAAAATATAAATTTATCTGAAAAAAACTGACTTTTTCCATGCAGAATAGAGAAACTGAAGAGAGTCAAAAGAAATAATCAAATATAAAAAAAATGAACAAGATCAGTTAGAATATATCAAAGTAATAAAAAAATAGCTTGAGTAAAAAGAAACAGCATCAGTAGAACATAGAAGACCGAAAAATTTTGAATCAAATGATGGAATATATTTAAAAAAAAGTTTCTTTAACATTTAATCATGTTCAAGTTCGTGATCAACATTAGATGTAAGAATAATATCATCATCAAATGGAAGAAAAATCGATTTTCGAAGTAAAGAAGAACATGGATATATACGAAAGATAACTGAATAAGAGTGGACGCAATAAAAGTATTGATTGACTCTATCTGACCATGAGCTGATACTGTCATCTAGATTGAGATGTTTCGATAGTGAAGAAGAAGAACATAACATTTGCTTAACAAAAAAATACTTCTCACTACGATATGAAAAGAAGAATAAGATTTCGCCAAAGCAAATCAATTTAGAACAGGAAGAGTTGTAAAAGCATACTCGATAGCTAACAGATGTTTTTCGCAACTTATATGATAATGAATGATAAACGGAAATACCTAAACGTAAACGATCGTAAAAACTAATATCTTCAGCAGTTCCACCATTAAAAAAGCGAGAAAATGCATAAGTAAATTGTTCATCATATTCTTTTATAATATTTTGATCAAAAAAATTATTATCAAAAAAATTATTTTTTAAAAAAATATTTGGGGTACGCTTGACTTTTTTGAAGTGAATGAATCGATCTATGTATTAGGGGTCAAAGAGATGTAATGTTTTGAAATCTTTATTTTAAAGATGGAAGAACATAAAAAAAGATAACGAGAAAAACGTATAGCATCACTCGATCTGACTTTTTATAAACAGAAGAAGAACTATATATATATCGAAAACAAAGAGAGAGAGATGACTAGAAAGACATGATATCACTAGAACAAAGAAAAAGATAGATCAAATCATAACAACAAAGGTGATATCATGCAAATAAAGAAAAAGAAAAGAAGAACGAAAGAA